TTGATTCCTCCCTGAGTTGTGCCTGCCTTTCCAGGTGTCCCTCAGGTTATCTCCTGCCTTTGTTCTAGAATCTTCCTTGCCTATCAAGGCAACCCTGCCCCTTCTGCGTTGTCCGTCCAGGCAACCCTGCCCTTTGTTCCAGAATGTTCCCTGCCAGTTATCCCATGGACCCATCCCCTGTTGAGCCTTCTCCCCTTCCTTTATCCTGATTAATTGTTATTCCAAAACCACACCCCGAGTGTCACCTTATTGGTCGTTCCATTATATCTACCCCCTGTTTTTTGAGGCTCTATAATCCCCTGCACAGAGGTGCTCCAGGCTTTCTCTGTCTGCGATCCTTTCAATCTTGGTTCTTCCTGTACCCCTACCACCTCAATAAACGGGTTAGAGCTTCACCACCAGAGTCTCCTCTGCCTTCTTCACCCAGTCCCTGCTGCGGCATCTCGGAGCGCTGCTCTGGAGCAGTGAGCTCTAAGGTTCTGCCCTTGGCACTCCCCCAGCCAGGGCAGTTCCCCACACTCACTACTGCTCCAGAACGCCTGGGCTCTGGCAGGCAGTGGCATTTCTGCACAGTTTACTACTGAGTGTTCTTCACTAGATGCTTTTGAAATTGCTGCTTCTATTGTTGAAGCTGTTGAGATTGGAGTTTTCTCCTTCCCAGCCAGGGTTCCCCCTCAGCTCAGGAAACTCCTAATCCCATGTCTGACATCACTGGTCCATTGCCATGGCAATGTCTGAGGGCTGTGCAGCCAACAGCCTGGTTTTCTGCAGGAACTTTATATGTGAAAGGATAAAATTAGAAGGAGCATTAACACTCATGGGCTGTGCACTTAAACAAATTTATGCAGAAAAAAAGAACTGTAGAAGAATGCAAAAGCTGGAAATCCAGAAGTTATTTGGGTTTTGTGTTTAGGGTGTGGGCTTGAAGCAGAGGAAAATTCTAATTTGTGTGTATCCTAAATTCCTAGCTCTTGGTCTTGTGCTGGACCTGGGAAGCATGACTTTTTCCAGCCAGCATACTGCCACTGCCTTGTATTCACAGATATTAAGCTGGTGGTTGTCTTGGTTTGAGATTGTTGTTGTTTATGACTTTTCTGTGCTTTTCCCAAATTCAGGTAGTTGAAAGGCAACAGAACTAGGCCCAGAAAAAGGCTTCTTGTCTATTCTCCTCTAGATGTTGTGTCCTTAATTTTCTAGCAAACAGATAAAATCCCCAGCCTCTGGAATGATTCATTCAAATTATATTGCACTTTTCCCTTCTTCAGGCTTTCTTCGGGTTCCCACTCAATTGAAAATATTCACTAATGTACTCGATTTTTTAGATAATTTTTATATGCACTTAAGTGTCCTTCTCTGAAAAGCACTCTATATCACCTAAGGAAAAATGCTTGTGCTGAAACCTGCCCTGTTAAAACACAATTTCCTTTGTTAAACTCCACTGTTAAACTCCATTTAATTGACTGTGCTTAAATGAAACCTATTGCAATTAGTCACATCTCACCCATAGCTAATTTATAGAAGGAAAGTCTTTAGCATATGTCATTTAGACATCCATTACAGTAGTGGAGCTGATTATGTATTACGGGTTTCTGAGTCACAATACAAATTAATCTTCAGTATTTAAAAGAATTTTAGTTTATTTTTTCATTTGTGAAGGAGTCCTTGCCTGTGGGAAGCTAAGGAAAAGGGCAAGAATACACACTCTGTACTTGTTACTCTCTCATCATGACCAGTGTGATCCTATTTGACACCAATATTTGGGTGAATCTCCTGAAAATGGAGTACATGACCTGATGTAAGCCAGTTACATAAAATATGCCCAGACCTGGCAAAACTAATTTCTCCTTATATAAAAAGCCAACCTGCAAAATGCGCTTTTATCTGGTAAGGCAGACCACTGCTACATGAATTAAATGCACAATTTCCTTGATGACAACATTTTGTTTAAGGTGGTGAATTACTCTCTGCTTTGCCAATTTATGACACTATTTCCCTCTGGGCATCCCTTTAGGCTTATCTGCTTCTGCCAAGATACGTGAATTGAGTAATCTGGTAGTACTTGAGCTGCACATCTCACCCCAATAACTGGCTGATAGTTAAGCTGACTCAGCTGCTGCTGTGTGTTATACCCCTAAGCTTGTTACATTTACCTAATTAATTCATTCCTGCTTTCAGACTTTGGAAGCTGATAAGGGGAGGTTGCCCTTAACTCAGTTCCTATTTCTTAACTTAAACATTTGATTGCATGTAATAATAATATTACATTAGTCCTTTGAACTCGTATCTATCCATGATTCAGAGGGTTACAAGAAGTTAGTCCAATCTTTTAAGGAGGTTTTTGAAGATTTGAGACCATCTTTTATCTCAGGGACACACACTGTTGTGCTAGCCCCCTTCCTTTGTCATTTTCTGAAGGTCACCTCTAGCATTGCAAGGCTGGAGGGAATGGCTGCAGCCACCTCAGCTTCCTCCTTCAGGCCCTTGAGCTGAGCTTGCCCATGAGTTCCACACTGGAGGGGCTTATTCTGCCTTTTTTTTTAAATGAGTTCTCCAACAAAGCCCCTACAAAACAGCTGTGCTGTGGAAGACAAATATATAGTGTGCTTCTTGCTTATGTGCTCTTTCACTTCAGCAGACTCACAACCACCAATAAGCCCTGTACCTCTGTCCAGTCCATGGATGCCAGCAAGGTCATATTGTGTTGGCTAAGCACAAAACTTTGAATATCCCTAAATTCCTCAGATGCCTGATGAATTAACACAGACAATTGACAAAAGAGAGACCTTTCCCTCTGCCCACCAAAAGTCACTTCAAAACCTGCACCTGATCTAATCTTTTCTACTTAAACTAATTGCTATTTGCAGTGGCATATGGAAAAGAGCTCCCTTGCCCCAATAGTGGTATTTCAGGCTACAAAGACATTTCATATTACTTGTTCATTTTGGAGACTGCCTACACATTGCAATCATTTTTCTTTGCTGGAACTGTGGTTCACACACACACACACACACACACACACACACACACACACAAAAGAAAAAAAAGAAAAAAAAAAAAAAAGAGAGAGAGATAGCAAGTGACTCTGAGCTCTGAGAAAGTGTCATGGTTTGACCCGGAAACAGGATTTCTGGGATGCTGTGTGGATGGGGCCAATGAGTGTTCAGATTTGAATATTGCCATTTGGCCCAACCACTGGGCACTAGGATCCACCTCCGAGAACACAGGGTAAAAGCAGGGCTCTTCCCCGGCAGTTTCTCTTTGGATTTCCGGCGGTGAAGGAGTTGAGTCTCTCCCCCGGCCCAGTTGCTGGCTGGGCTGGGGGAGGGGAAAAGCCATGCGGCCCGGCCTGGGAGAGGTAGGCCTGGCCCCCCCTCCAAGGGTGGAAGGAAGAAGTAAAGAAATGCTGGGAAGCAATGGGCAGCCTGTTCCTTCCCCACACCTTGGAGACAGACAGAGAGAGTGCAGCCGGTGTTTGTGTGCCGTTAGCTTGAAAGCAGTAAACATGTGCTGGCAGCAGGCAGCCCAGCTGAGGAGATGGTGGGGGGGGTGCAGCCAGGAGTCCAGCCGCTTGGAGGAGTTTTTAACCCTTTTTTGGACAATGAAAACTTCACAGAACATTAACCCTTCCTAGACGAGAGATGAGAGTGGAGGAGGACGAAGGAAATGAGCAAGTGATGAAGGTCTGGACCAGAGAGAGAGAGAGAGTGAGAGATGTTAGAAAGATGGAGAAGAGGGAGTGGCATTTTATGCTGGACTCTTTTGTGTAGCCATGGACAGAGCTATGTTTCCCTGTAATACAGAGACTGAGTCTAGGGGGAGAAATGTCCCAGAGCCAAAGAAGATTCAGTGTGGGTACCCCTCGGCCCCAGGGGGTATATAAAATATGGGGGGGACAGATGTCCCAGAGGTGAGAGATTGAGCTTTTCTGGAACTGGACACAGCCTCCTTAAAAGGACAACCCTGGAAGCAGCCCTGATTCTGGTCTGGTGGTGAGAGCACCGGAACAAGGACGGAAAAGGCCACCACGACACATGGAAGGACTCCCTCTCCTCTTGAGGAACTGAAGTTGAGCATTCTAAAGGGTGGTGCTGGACCCAGAATTGATTTTGGATTGTATTGTATTGGGAATTTGGGGGGGAGGAGGAGGAGGAGAGTGTTTTTGTGAGGTTTCATTTTCCTTGTGTTTTTTTTTTTCTCTTTTTCTTCCTTTTGTGTGTAGTTTAGTAATTGTTTCTGTAGTTTAGTTAATAAACTTTTCTTCTTTTTCAAGTGAGAGCCTGCTTTGTTTATTCCTGGTCAAAATCTCACAGCAGACACCAGAGAAGGTGTATTTTCATGCGGGCATTTGGCCTTGTGCCAATGTCAAACCAGAACAGAAAGCAAGGGAATTTTCATATTTAAAGCTTCCTGAGAGAAGGACCAGAGAACATCACACTTTGCTCATCTTCTTGAATAACTGATATATACTTCCACAAACATCTGAAAGAGTTTCTGGTCTATTTGAGGCAATGTGTAAAAGTGGAACCTTTATTTATTTTTAAGTAGATTTTTCAAATTTAATTTTCTTTTGATAGACACAGTATGTGATGTTGTTAATATTTTACCAATATGCCTTGAGAAGATATTTGATGGCTGTCATGGCCACAAGGCATCAATGCTATCAGCCTCTCTGAAGCCTGGTGTAGTATAAACTGTTAATCTGGAAAACTAGGCAGAAGAAGGAAGTACAATTTCCAAATGTGTTTGTACAGTGGCGTATTATGCTTCTGAATGTTTATGCAAGCACTGTAACTTGCCATGAAGATACCAGAAAACAATTCATCTATCTTTACAATACCCTACAAAGTGTAGTTTGTGGCTGTTGTAAAACAGAGTTTACCATGCTTTCCTTACCCTAACACTTACCTTCTTTTTTTAGAGAAGCAGATTTCTGTCCATGTTCATTAACAGCTTGGAGATACCAGGTCCTTGCAAGGTACACCCAAGTCCTTCCAGATGGTGTTTGGCCCTGCACCTCTCATCTCCAGGACAGAGGCTCTAATCTGCATTTGAGCTGGAACAATCACAATGTCCCTTGTGGATATATGCCAGTGTGGGACATAAAGTTCCACTTTGTGTAGAGAAGTTCAGGGTAAAGTAGATTAGAGGCAACCTCTCCTCCTCTCTAATGCAGCTTTGGTGTTTTTTGACAAATTGACTTGGGTGGGGGATTGGAAATCCCTCTTCTCCTCGTTTACTGAAGCTGTAACACCATGGGGACATAGGGAGCCTCCTCCTGTGACCAGCCACCATTGAAATACTTAAGTAAGACAGGTCTGAGAAGAGGGGTTGGCCAGAACCTCACATACAATGGTTGCACAATGGGAGTGTTCACCCAGGAAGGTGGGCAGGATGCATAATTATATCCCCAGGCAGATGCTGGAACTGTACCTCTTTCCTACATGAATAAAGTATCTGCCAGACTCAAGGTTAAAAAGCAAGCAGGATTTTTGCCTGTTTTTGAAAGACAAAAGCAGCTGCAGTTTCTAAAAGTTAAGATCCAAAGTCAGAAATCATTAGCAAAGATGGGCAGATCCCTGAGATTTCGTTTGAGTTGGCCAAACACAAGCAGCAGGGCTTGCTTGTCAAGGTCTTTGTTCCTCACAGGCAAGTGAGCTTGGCATCATAATGCTGCACTTTCTATATAATTCCGCTATAACTATAGTGTCACAGCATCGACCAAACAGCCACTCGGTGCTTCCTTGCCTGCTCTCATGCTGCAGACTGCAGGGGACACTCCTCTGCACTCGGGAGTGCAGAGGGGCAGCCAAGGGTGTTACCTCTTTCCTCGGGAGGAGACAGCTGGTCGAGGATGGTCAAGGAAGGAAGTAGGCAATTCAGAGCGTAATTAGTCCAAAACTTTATTAGGAGCCACTAGAAGCTTCTAGCCTTAGGGGTTACAGCTCCAAAACACCTCAAGACCACAGGAGCTGTATCTTTTATTCAGGGGCAGTACCAAAGGAGGTGTTCAACTACCTACCAATAGGGAATCAAGGGGGAGTGAACTGGGAGATAATCGACAACTAGAACAACCTCCCAGGAAACTTAGTGGGAGGGATCATTGATCCTTGACCTGTCACTCAATGCCCTTCATGGAAGTTTCCAGAGACAGGGGCGGAGAACTGAGTGACAGACAAGGCACTGGGGACGGGATTTGAGGACTGACAGGGAAGTTTCCAGTGAAATGGGAGGAGCAGAGATAGGATTGACAATGGGGGAAGGGAGTTAACTTACTCGACAACCACAAACGGGCAGAATCAGGAAGAAACCAAATAACGCAACACAACACTATTGGAGTGTAACTACTGGAGCATCTCATGCAGCTGATGATTATGGTTTCTTCAGTGCAGAGTTCTTCCCTATTATATGTGCCTATTTAGCCTAGGGAGAAAACAGTGATTTGTGAGAAGCAAGTTTAAGTTTGTATGCTGAGTTATGCTGCTGGCACCACACCGTCCTGAGTAAGACACACTGCCACTGGCTCACCCAAGAGAGGCAGTGGCGTGAGGGAGCATAAAAAACCATGCCATAATCCCTTTTTCTGCTTTATGATGTCTAAAAAGTCTCTTCCAGCTCAAATTTCTCTGAATAAATATATGCACAACCAAATCCTGCTCTTCATCCTGAGTGCATGCCTCTCCCACATGGAACACTGGACACCCATCTCACGGCATCCCACCAGATTGCCTTGTCTTTACTGAACTCTACATCTGTAATCTACCTCAAGAAAATTTAAACTGGTCAACTCTCTGAGGCCTTTTTTCACTGAGATAAGAAGGGAGAGAAGGGTAGAAAGTTTATCTGTCCAGCTTTGGCCTGGATTCCCTCCCAGGCAGGATGTCCATCCCCTCTGCACATGGGAACAATTTGAGTTTAAAAGGCTGAAGTATCCCTTGTTGTGCAGCTAGTGTCAAGGCTGACATTATATACATAATAGGGATTATCTTGATGTTTCCTGTAGACTAATATGACTTTTTGATGTGAAACAGATTAATCTGATTTCATTTCCCACCTTCATTGCAACGGCTGTCCAGCCACCGCCACAGCACTCCTGCATGGCATCTGAAATCCTCGCTGTAGTAATTACATACAGCTGTGACTGGATTAAATTTGCTATACTTATGATTCACCCGCAGCAATGATCTTTGTCAGCATGTTCTTTTTTAGTCGATAGACCATTTGAAGCACTACTTAGGCCATTTGACCTGCAGAAAAAGAATACCTATCATCATTAAATTACTATCAAAAGGAGAAAGATGATAATATAAAGTTTATAGGTATATCTTTGTGGATTAGGGCTTAATAGAAAAAAGCTCACAGAATTCCTCATTTGTTCCATCCCCAGTCATGCAACACACTAGACAAAACTGTATCTTGTGGAAACTGCTGCGCACAGGACAAATGGGAGACAATTTATAAAGCTTTGGCACACAGCTCAGTTCAGTGTCTGAAAGGGAATGGGATAGGCTTAGTGGGGCTGAAGGAGCAGCAGAAGAGCTATGCAAGCTCATGCTCCACAAAGAGCTAGAGAACTGATGTGTTTTAGAAGCAGGTTTTTAAATCCCGTTTGAGTATTCCTCCATGAGTGCTGGTTTTGTTCAGTGGCAATGGATCAAAAGGAGAGGGTTTTATTGATCTCACTGGGCTTCCAATGAGGGCTATAACCATTGTATATCTTTGATGACTTCTTTCCCTGCCTGAAAACTGTATTTATTAATGGTTTATTACTTCTTTTGCTATCTGTAGGGTGGGTAGTTTGTAAATATAAATGTGAGGATTGAAATAGGTTAGTATATAATGGTGACCCCAGAGGCCCAAAGATCAATAAAGAAAAGAAAAAAGAGGAGGCACTGTGAATCTTGCTACAACCTGTTTTCTGAGTGATTTATGTATCCCATGACAGCTGTGGAAAGCTAAGACAACGTTAGAAACTCTGGTTTGATAAAGTGTTTTTATGAAGAATGGCTCTCACAGTGTTTCTAAAAGATTGTCATGGCTTAAAAATGCAGTGGCAGCCCAAAAAGTGGCTTTGAGTGCAAACATGAGAATCCTTCTGTTTATGACACCAATAGCTGTGCATGAGGAATAAGGCCAAAAAGCATTCAAAATAGTCATTGGAATAACAGCAGGTTAGAAATGAGATCAGATTAGAGATAAGTAGGAAGTGAACAAAGGGCAAAGACTAAAAGCAGAGGAATTCAGAGGAGGCATCCAGCAAAAGAAACTTTATTTTAGCAAGATATCACCTTTTGGTCGGAGGGTTATCTGAGGTGAGTACAGTCACTCTGCTCTGTGATTTTAGGCATATAACTTTCTACAAAGTATAGAAATAATTTTCTACATGTTTCTTTCTAAATCTATTTCAGTGGAAAAGTATTATTTTCTGGGTTTCTTTAAAAAAAGTACAATTGAGAGCAGCAGTTTTATGTTGGAAGTATAGTTTTGTGTCACCCAGTAGCTACATGTATCCTTCCATGGATCTTGGCAGTGTCAGACTGAAATGAGTAACAAAACAAGACTACACAGCAGATATTGTGCAGGCAGACACCCAAAGGTCTCTATAGCATCCACAGATGTGCTGGTCTTGTCTTTCCTTCCAGCTCAGCAGCATTTCAAAATCACATGTTTCTGTCTGGTCAGTTCCCTTTGAGATACCACTTTGGAATTCCTTTAAAGTATCTCTTCAACATCAAGTTCCATACAAAACCAAAATATACTGCTTCTTAAAGGAAATAGTTTTCCACCAGGGGATTACATGACTGCTGTTATTACCTCTCCTCCTACAGCTCTTTCCCAACATCATATTTCTTGTAATGTTTTAAGGGGCCTGAAATGCTAGTTTCTACTTTGACATATTTGCAAAAAAAGTTGATGCTATAAATCTTTGTTCATGAATAATGAGATCTTGAGACCTAGAGAGTCACTACTATGAAAATGTCAGATAAGATCAAGGAGATCTAGGGGACCTGATTTTGGAACATTTTTCTTCCTCTTTTTAACAAGAGTAAAACCAACAGAAGTTAAAATTTGATACAAGCCGTGAGGAGTTAGAGTAAGGCATCAACTGGTAGTAAAAAAAAAATCTCTCTCTGGCAAAGATCTGGTGAGTAAATTGGGAGAAATCAACAGACAATTGAAACCAAACATGTTGTACATATTTTCCACTGGGTTTTTATGACTGAACTAGCAGCACAGCTGAGTTCAGAAGTGAAAAAGCTTGGAAAACTGTTCATATCTGCCCCCACAGATTCTTTTTAAAAGACATTTTGTCATCATCACAATCTCTTATAGCATCTTTATGAAAGAATTGTTGGTGGGTTTTTGAAAGAATTACCTGGCAAAAAAAAAAAAAGTTACTGCAAAATAATGTCATTATACTCACTAAAAAAGAAGGTAACTGTATGTTCCACTAGAAAGTTCATATTGTCTACTGAACATGTTAGCAAGACACTTCTTATTGTCACTGTCATCTGGTGCCTACAAAGCCCCAGACCTTACCTCAGACCTGCTCGAAGACTTCCTGCAGCCAGTTTCACTTGTTACCTGAATGCAAAAATCTGTATTTCAACATATCACTGTGATGCTTTGCTGATGGCAGGGAACCATTGCCATCAGCCTGTTGATATCTGGCTGCTGAAGGGATGGAATGGTCTTGCCACCGGAATGGGGCTGTGCTCTCAGAAGGAAGCATCATTCTGTTAAGCAGTTGGGTTTTCTGTGTTCTTTTAACAGAGTTAATGGGAATTGAACATCACCCTCTCTTTGATAGAAAGATAAATGGACCAACATCTCTTGGCCATTGTTATGTGGGACTGAGCATACATGAGCCAGTCATTTACAAATTATATTTATAAAAGTTATTACATGTAAATAATCTTTTTCATCATAGTTCTAGACTGGTTTGTGTTGTTTCCTTCCTCTTCCTCTCAACAAGGGGTTTACTTCAAACACAGACAGCACATGTGTGTCCATTTGCCTCTATCAGTGACCTGTCTTTTTATGTAAATTAGCAGTGCTTTGAGTCGGATCTTAGAGTTACAGTTGGGGTTTTTTGCTCAAAAAAGCTTATTCCTGGAAAAGCAGTTGGTAACCAGTAATGAGGCATTCCTCTTTTTCAAACCACAGAAGCTGAGAATTGCCATAAATCAGAGGCATCAGCTTTTATCTGAAATGGCCTCTACTCTGAAAAGCTGTAATACTTTATGCCAAATGTAGGCTTGTCACCATAGAGATAAGATGAATTCAAGGATTTAAGACTTGCCAGAAAATATCATGTACCATATTTAGGATAAAGCTTTGCTTGGTTAAATCAGCAGTGCATGCTGAAACTGCAAACCAGCATGTAACAAAGACTGGCCAAAGAAAAGAAAGGACTCACATTCTTTAAATAAAAGCTATGTGTTTCTAAGAAGAGTGTAGGTACTGACGCTTTGTTTGTCCTCAGGCCTCTTTAACAACTATGGTTACTGTGTATTTTAGTGACTGAGACATGCAAGTATTTGATTTTTTGGGGTGTGTCTTTCTTCCTTTTTCTCTACCTTCAAAAATAAGTGTCTTTGTTTTATTTTAATTGATCTCTTAACATATTAAAATCTATCTGGCCTTTTTCTCAGAAGCAAATGAAATCTAATCAGTTCTTTCTGATTATATATAAGGTGTTGTTTGAGATGCTTTTTTGGATGTAACAGTACCTCTGTTCCTAGAAATTCCTTTACTGCACCCAGATTTGAGCTAAGTGTCCCCAAATCACCGATATACTTCTCTCTCCTGTTACCCATCAAAGAACAGCCAGAGTTTTCAGACATGCTTGGGAACTGAGACACTGCTGTAACTGTGACTCATGTTATTGAAGACTATTCATGGCTAAAACATTTTTGAAAATGAGCTTTCTTTTGAAAATGATGCTTCCGAGGAAATTCAGTGCTTTGGAAAATGTTGCGTCATATTGTCCTGCTGCCCCTCAAAGTAGAGAAGAAGCTTTAATGCAATGTTCTCAAGGAGGATCTGTGAGAGATGGAGACAGCACATCTCCACCACAAGAAACCTTTAGTACCCCCAAAAAAGCCACTGTGTTCAGTGGGAATTGCTGCAGGCTGAGAACCGGTGAGCTGCCCTTGCGAGCACTGCCTGTGGCCACAACAATTGCTGCTGAGGAGTGTGGTCATCACTCAGTTGCCTACACACAGAAGAAAACCAGGGCATCCTGGGGCCAGTCCCGTCTGTCCCACATCCCTGAGGGATTGCCCATCATCCCCAGCACCAGATATTTGGCCAGGGTCATGGAGGAGGGTTGCAGAGTGAGCAGGCACACAAGGGGGCCTTCTGGGCTCACAAGGCTTGCTTGCTTGACGTTACTGTTACAAGCTAATAGAATCAAAATTATTAACAACAACAACAAAAGAATTAAAATTTCTATTTTTAGCTGTTGCCCCTGCAGTGGCATAGATACTATGCTTATAACACCAAGTATGATGAAGTCCCCACATCAGAACTAGGGGCTCCCTTTTTAATCACAGTAAAGCCATTTTAACAACCTTTGGCAAGCTCACCAGCAATGCAAATACTCCAAGTATTTGTGTTTAGGAGAGGGGAGAAAGAGCTTAAAATGAATTTAAATTGAAAACCAGCAGTCATGCATTTCTCTAAATGATTGTTTTCAGTACCATAAGCCACATCCTTCCAAATTTCCTCTGCTTGGCCACACATCACTGGAATGAAGTGTCATACTTGGTTAAGTCACTTTGACATCATCCTGATGATGTGTCAAGCACAGGAAATTTGAAAGAACAGGGCTCAGTAAGGTCTTACTCTAACTTGCCTTCTTTTGACAATTCCTCTCTCCAGCCCCACACCCTCTCTGAGCCTTTTTGAAATTCAGTGTTTCTGAGTTTGGTTAACTCTTAAAATCCCTATGGTGAGGCTAATACTGTCAAAAGTGTGGAAACAGCACTCTGCAGGTCTCCCACCTTCCTTTCAAAGCCAGCATTTTCAAGGTGTCCAAATATTTATGGTGATGGGTCATAAAATGCATGAGTTACATTGAATTTGTCAGGAAAAAAACTGCAAGTGAACCTCAGCTGCAGAGATGTGTGTGGCTGCAGCTTTAGAGAGTAGGAGTGGAAGAGCTACTGTAGGTGTGAGCCTTCAGCCCAGATACATCACACAGCTGGTGGAAGTAGAGTTCATTGCATAAGCTGATTCATAACAAGCTAGTGAGATTTTTTCTTTCAAATACAGCTAGTGGGAAACCAAAAATTTACATTTCTGTGTAGGAAGCAGTGTACACAGCTCTCTTGCCAGAACTGTCCGTCAGCTCAAATAGCTCTTATTCTCTGATTTCCTCTCTACACCCACAGCATACTTAGGGGAAACAATCCTACCTCTTCTCAAGCTTCATCTTGATGACCTATATGAGCCCTGTTACATTTGCTCAGGAAGTAGTCTCTC